TTTTTTTTTTTTTTATTTTTTATTTATTTTTTTTTTTTTTTGCTGCTGCTTTTGCTCTCTCAATCTTCACAATGACACAGCCCGGTGAATAATTTTAAGTGGCTCAAGTTTTTTTTTCCCCTTGAATCCTTCAAAATCTCATCGTCGCGATTCATCATAATTGGATTAAATTGCAACAAAAAAGTTGCCACTCAATTATGTTTAAATCACCAGGATCATATGGATTACATTTTGCAATAAGAAACCACTATTTCTGGCCCATTTTAGAAACAACATACATGCCAGTGGTTTCCCTGTGCAGATTTGTGCTTTTATGGGAGAGCCAGAGATCGTGGTTCCTTATTGCAAAATGTAATCCATAGTTGTGTTATTCTGTCGTCCAAATTCTTCCTCTCCCGGCAGCTGCGAAAAATAACGTCATAAAATTATCGGGACTTTGCCGTACCGCTAATTTTGGCATTAACGTTGAAGACGCTTGGGCAACCTCTTTTCCCTGGGCGGGCCAGTATCTCACTGTCGGTTCATTCAACAGTGAGAATCGCTACGAAAAAGTGTCCTATCATGTGATTATTCAATTTCTTTCTTAATTTCTTCGCACGTGTTTAAATCACCAGGATCTTGTCTACGTCTCGACTATCGTATCTCTTTGTTTTTTTCATCAATCCTTTGTATAACCATGGGTACCTTGGATGCTATGCTTTTTGCACGACATTGATGTGGGTATGATTTTTTTAATTTTTCCGCAATAAATTTGAAAATGTGTGGGTCCACTAAAATTGCGACAAAATGCCGGCAGTAAAATCATTAAAATCGTAAACCTTTACAGGCTGACACGTGATTTCCCAAAATAAGCATTTTTTGGAATTTAGTGACCTAAATCATAATACACATATCGTCACTCCTCTGACTTAGGGCCGTATTTCTATTTCCATATGAGCCCAGGAACGCATGGTATTATACGGACAACAGGGCTCACGTAAAAATTGGGATTCGCCCTTACGTCAAAGGAGCGACGATATTTATAAAATTAATGTTCCCTCAAAAATATTTTTCAAGTTTCAAAGTCAGGAAATGTATTGGAAATGAAGTTCTCCGCACGCACTGTTTGGTTAATGACAGAAAAAAACATTTTCGAAGAAGTTAAGAAAATACGGTATAAATCATGGCAGGATTGGTCATTAACATTATAATGGAAAAGGTGATTGTCAATGTTTGAATAAAACTTACTTTTTAGTGTTCAGTCCTGATGTTTACAAAATGTTCTGACGATGATCATTTCGGACCCATACTTGGGTCCATTTTCACGTAGAAAAAGTGAACGCGTGTACGCAAACTGATCGGGAAACTGGAATGTATAGAAATGAGTAAATCCGTTTTAATACGGCGCATTAACCAGCCGCTGGTTGTGTCGACCATCCGATTTTTTCCCGTGTAATATTAGGTAACACGATATTCTGAATAATTGATATAGATAAGGAAGCGGTTTATCTTTCAATTCTGAAAAAATCAATTTCCATCAATTTTAATCTTAATCTTAAAAATTATAATTAAAACTGACAGTACATTTAAAGCAAAAATAAAAAAGCAAGAAAGTGCAACAGAAAAAAAACACGCTGATTAGCGCCGGATGCTTCTTCTGTTCCTACCTAAAATCAGGAGAATTAATTTTTCATCATTCCTCCTCTCCTTTTTTCTTATTCGTGAAAAAAATTAGCAGAGACAAAAAATTAAGGAATTGGGAAAAATATGTGGTTCGATCATTCTACTTATTATTAGCAATTCGAGGAAAAAATGAGAGTAATGAAACGAGCTGACTGATAGCCGAGCATACGCAGCCTAATCTTGAACTCGTCGTCACAGAAATCATCAAGCGAGTTCACTTGAATGCGAATTATTCTCAAATCAAAAGATTCTTTGGAATATCCTCCAAAGAAGTCACCATTCTTATGGCGTGTCCGATTGGGTTTCTCTTGGAAAAGGGTGGCAAGGACACCTAGGAAGATTTTGGCAGCAGGGAATTCAGGAAGCGATTAGAAGCCGGTGTCATTCGCCTCATGATCTGAGGTAGTATGAGTTTCTATGGCAATAACATTTTGGCCTCAACTTGAGAGCTTTTTTGAGCTTGGGAATTGATTTCAGAGAAAACCAGTGGCACCATCGTGTTTCTCGCAAACTTTTACATTAGAATCAATAATCGAATCGCAAATTCCTCACACGTGCAACATCTCCACTACCTCCTTTGTCCACTGCAACCACCCGCTACCACCTATGGAATCGCTTTATTTTCCCTACTTCCTCTTCTTCTATAATAGCTTTGTCTATCAATTCAATAATCAACCCACAAGTGAGCCTCTGTTTGGCAACAAATCGAGATAAAATATGTAGCGTAAAGGAAGAAAAACAACCATTAGGAGTCGGAAAAGTGTATTTTAAAAATTAGACACATCGATCATAATTGAAATTGTAACGAAAATATGCTAATATTGGTGAATCATCAGAAGTTAGATTTTGTAAAAAGTTAAGAGGCGAAAGAAAATATTCGTTGAGAAATACAATCCTTTTTAAGAAATAAAAAAAATTAGAAAATATGTTTCCTTCCAGAAGCTGTTTAACATCTTCAAATGAATCTGTGTATGATTTTACTTGGAAAAAAATGTCCGTGCCGTAAAAGCTGCTCTTGTTTCAAAACTCAAATTTTCATTGGGACCGGGCTATAAACAGGCTAGTACCGAATCAAATATCGGCAAATAAAGTTTAGTGTAATTCTGAAAGCTCAACTAGCTGGAAATTTTCTCTCGGGAACAAAATCGAAGTTGAGGAAATATTGAGTTGAATTTAAGAGAAGTCAAATTATTTATTTAGAGGTCAGAGGAATGGAACGTATGACCTTTTGTTTCTTTCGGTTCTAACTTGATGTGACTCGCTTTTTCTACACTAAACACAATTCATTTTTGTGAACTGCATTGATTTTAGTCCATGTTTGATCATGTTGCACTTACTCTCGCTAAGAATAAATTAAGTTTCTTCCTAATGTCTATAAATGAAGCTTATTTTGCGAGGCAGGTAAAGCGAACTTCTATCACCTTTGCTGGATTTTCACTCGGAATCCAGAAGAAGGAAAAAGCATGAATACCAAACGATAATCCATCTCTCTGAGATCTTTTGGCGGTTTTTCGTCAGTCGAGAACTTGTACCTCAGCAAAGTGCTTGCGATCAGGAATTTCATTGACCGCATTGCATACTTGTTTCCTAAAAAAGATTAATAAACATCATATCAATGCCGATAAAAAAGCAAATCGACGGTGTAAGTCGGCAATTACATAACTCGGTTTGCGAAGTCGCAGACTTCCTGTCATACTTTATTCTATAAACGGAAACTACTCAACGGCAGTTCTTTAAAATTGCCGTGATGTTCCTTCTCTGTGCGGAGAAAATTCTGCATAAACTTCAAAGAATGATATCAATTTGTTCTCCTTTAAAAAATGACATAGAGGCGGAGATTTTTAGACACCGCAAACGAGATATATGATTGCGGACTTACGCCGTTGAAATGTTGTTAAGTATCATATATGTTGAAATAATAAAACATAAGAGAGAATTCGGAACATTAATAAAAATATAATGTTTTTATTTTGGAAGATTTGTAAAAGAACCTATCTAAGCCCTATAAACTATCAAGTTATGTTGGTTTTTTTTTAAAAAAAAAAAATCAATAAAAATTGACTTTTTTCGTTGAAAGGAGTACAAGTAGACATCATGAAATATGGTTAGGCTGATACGGGTTGCTTCCCGGCTGATTGAAATGATGCCGTCCGCATAAAAACGTAAGTCAAGAGTTTCTTACATATCTGTGAATGGAAGTTCACTGCTAATGAAATGGGTGCTCAAAAGAATATTTTCAGTTTTTTGGCTAATAGCCTTTGCATGGAAGACTTTTGACGGGACAAACGGAACACACCCTACGTGCATGGATCAAAAATAACGAGAGGCTTGTGCTCAAAAATAAAATACCTGGACAGACTCTGGGTCCACTCATGAATGGAATGAATGCGCCTTTAGGTCTGGATTTTTCATTGGCTGGTGAAAAGTGCTCTGGATAAAACTCCCCGGGTCTCTGCCAGTACTTTGGATCGTGATGAAGCTCATGAAGGCACATGAAAAAGTTTATTCCTGCTGGTATAGTCGTCTTATCTACAAACCAAAGGCAAAGAGAGTTTGTTAAAATCTACTGGAAGAACATCGCCTAATTTTCAGAAAGAGCCCTTTAGAAAGAGAGTAAAAAAACTTCCCTGGTAAAAATGGCAAGTGTTAGGTCAGTGAATTTTCCACTGAGGTCAGTGCAA